CTACCTCCCACGTAGCTGGGACTACAGGTGCTTGCCACAACACCCGGCTATTTTTGGATTGCAGCCGTCATTGTTTGGTGGCCCAGGCTGGATTCCCTGGCGTCATAACTCACAACAACCTCAAACTCCTGGGCTCAAGTGATTCTCCTGCCTCTACCTCCCACGTAGCTGGGACTACAGGTGCTTGCCACAACACCCGGCTATTTTTGGATTGCAGCCGTCATTGTTTGGTGGCCCAGGCTGGATTCAAACCTGCCAGCTCAGGTGTATGTGGCTGGTGCCTTAGCTGCTTGAACCACAAGCACTGAGCCCACAGTGACGTTTTTGAGAACATCTGAATGCAGGAGTCACAGCCTGCGCTTTAAGTCCAAACACAGGTAACCAGCAGCCCGCACAGGGAACAGTAAAGGGAATAAATTTCATATTCCCGTTCAGCTTCCTGCTTCTCCTGGGTTAGTTTCGAGTAGCCAGTTCCATTTTTTCTTTAGCTTCTAATAGTCACTCGAGACTCCCTCACCCCAAGGCACATTCCATCTTTGCCTCAGAGAGCCAACTTCAGCCATGAGGATGGGCCTTTACCATAAAGGGGAGAGAGACGCAAGCAGGGCGGATGCCGTGAACCCTATGAGAGTAGGAATCGGTCCCCTTGGGAGAGAAGTTAGTGACAATCTCTGGCGAAGGGTGCTAACACCAGACAGAAGGAGGGCTGGAAGGAAGGGAGAGAAATAAGAAGACCAGGAACGCTGGGCCCCGGCATTTATTCCCCACTCTCGGCCCGAGAGGCGCACTGCCAAGGGCTGATCTGTAGCCAGACCTAGCTAGTCTACCTGGGAGGAGAGGACGGACGGACGAGCCACACTGTGAGCAAGGTGCGCAGGTGCCGGCCTGGAAACGGCTCCCAGAGAAGCGCGTCCCATCACCGGGACTTCTCATCCTTCTCCCCAGGGGCAGGGTGAGGGTGACACGCTCCGTGTAGATTAGGGAGCTCGTCCACACTATACCACAGGCTCCTTGTGTTTCTTGTAAACTGGGGTGGGGTTTAAAAGTCAGGAAAATAGCCCATTAGATGGTGGCACCCGGGGGGCAACCAGTAAGTGGTTTCAACAGGTGACGTTCCTGTCAAAGACGTGGGTCAAAAGAACGTGGCTCCAGGAGGCAGAGCTGGCTCTTCCCACTTCACTTGATTTTGTATTTTCCCAGGAAGTGCGAACTAATTTGAAAATGCAATCCAGCCTCTGTGCTCAGACATGGAGATCACATCCTGAGGGGCCGGCCCCCTGGAGGCCGCCTGGGTTGCAGGGCTGGGGATGGACACCGGCCCATGACTCTTGGGAATGCTCGTGTCTGGGGCGTGGGCACTTCTTCTGTCAGCTGAACTGCAAACATACTTCTCCTACGAATAGAAACCTTCACCCTCTATCCTGTTCCTTCCTTCGAGTATCTTTTGCGATTTAATTTTCTAACGACTTTATATACGTGAAATCCCAATCCAAGTCTTGGGAGAAGAAAGATTCAACAGGGTGGCAGGAGGTGGGAACATACAGCAGAGGGGCCCTCTGCTTACCCAGCCACCCACGAGTAACCTGCTTCCTGACTGGCCCCGGGCCTGTGAGGAGCGTTTTGGAGGTGAGGTCTTGTCTGCGTCACTTCCTGACTGAACATTCTCTCGGGGACAATTCTCACCAATTCTGATGAAGGGAAACGGACTAAGCGCGGACATGGGCATTCCTTAACCTCTGGAATGTTTTGGCTTTTATCCTAAAACGAGGATAGGTAGGACGTTGATTCACTTTTTCTTTCATCCATGCTCTTTATTTTTGGCAGCACGCAATGAACACACACCCGCATGTACGTTGGGGGCGTGTCTACAGTGTGCATAGAGACCTCAGAAAGAAAGAAAGAAAGAAAGAACAGAAAGTGAAAGGAAGGATGAAAGAAAACAAGCCCCCTAAACTAGACGGTGGAGTCGAGTTCTTCTCTGGAGATGTGAGCTCAGCGAGTGGCTTCCCTGCCCTGTAGGACAAAGGCCGCCATCCCCTCCCCACAGAGCGTGGGGTGAGCGTTTGGATAAGCTGCGCAGACGCTGTTTACCTGGAAAGCAGCCGCTCAGAAGCCACGGTGGCAGCAGCTCTCAGCCCTTCAGGTGCTCTGATGCCTGGTGATGGCCGCCACGCAGGGCTGACCTAGCACAGGACTCAGCCCCGGCCAATGCCATCACCTGGGCTCAGCTGCTGAACACATAACCACACAGCATAAGCTCAGAAGTGGGTTTGCCAGCTCTTCAAAACCGTGACGCAGCCCCCAGTAACTGAGGAGAAAGAGGACACACAGTCCCTTCATGCCAAAACTGCCCTGGCACGAGTTCTGCTGCCTGGTAAAGATCTCTAAAGACCAGCTGTGCCACCAAAGGGAACCGTCAAGAAGTGGGGACAGAGCAGGGACAAGCCAGGCAGCTGACGGAAGAGTCACAGAATATGCTCGGGATGTGGCTTCATGCCAGACTCGCCCCCAGATTGACAAGCGCCTTCATCACCCTGATGTGATCTCACAAGTGGCACCTGGGCGTGGTCTCTGCACTAGGCCTCTGTAAAGGGTGGGGACTTGGTCCAGGGCCCCTGCACCAACATGGATGGTTTACAAAGGCAATGTCAGGAAGAGCAGGCCCTCAGGACATCAGCGCCAGCCTCTCCGAGCCCCCTCGGCACACAGCCCTGGGCGCCGGCTGGCTGGTTTCCCCATCTAACATTGTTTCTACTGTGTCTCTGATGAGCTTCTCTGCCCACAGGCTGCCCAGCCCCTGGACAGAGGCAGCAGGCTGCCCAGCCCCCGGACAGAGGCAGCACGTGTGTCCTCTGCGCCTGTCGGGGGATCTGAAAACCTCCATCTCCCAGTGGGTGTTACAGGAGGGGCCAGATTGGCAGGGTCAGGCAGGAACAGTTACTCATGCTGCACGAAAGGCCTTTGTCACCTGTATGCAAATCTGCTGTTGGGATTACCACACTGTCAGAGATCCTCAGCGGTATTCTCATGTCCCTTAAACAGATGCAGAGAGAAGGGTTTCTTGGATATCAAAGAAAAAAAAAGGAGAGGGAAAGGAAGAACCACCACAACACTGTATCACGAGAGTAAAAGAACGGAAGGGAAAAAAGAACGGAAGGGAAAACACAGACGCAGAGGTTTGTTTTCCTGAATTACTGACAGGTCCCTGGCCACGGCAACAAGGTGGGAGGCTTCGCAAATGGAAGGCCCTGTCACTCTGAGCGGGGAGGACGCAGCACACTAGGAAGGGGGAGGTGACCTTCTTGCTCTGGGTCCTGTGTCTCAGGTTTCAGCAAGAAGCACTGGGAGGGAATCTGAGCCCTCTCTGCCTCGGTGGCCCTGGAGCTCTGGAAGGGACAGGAGCCTGGGAGGGGGCGCCTTCTCTCCTGCCGGCTGCCTCTTTTCTTCCCCTCGGGACTCCGACACAGGGGGCTGCCCCAGCGGTTTCTGTGGCACTCACCTTTCATACCACTCCCTTCTTCCTGGAATGTGTTACGAGCAGTGGTCTGGTCTTCTAAGTGCTCACTGCCACCACTTCCTGAAGAGGCTACACTGCTTTGTGGAGACAGGGGGGCATGATCGGGTGGGAGGCACTGAGGTCCTCTAGCTCGCAAGTCCTCATGAGACATCCATCCATGTCCTAGAGGCTGGCTTGGCACATTCATGGGTGGGGTAAGGGACACAGATCGTTTCAAAGGGCTGTGGTGTGCCTGGCCTGAGAGAACTGGAAAAAAAAATAAAATGAAATAGGTTATTCCCCCCCCTTAAGGCTGGGATGCAGAACCCACAATACCTCTGAGCCCTGAGGCACACACTGGCTGCCCCACAGCTCCACCCGTGGGCACAGCCGGCTGGATAAAGGCCTGGCATGGTCTTCCCTGCAGGTGGTTGGAAAGGACACTGCTGGGATCTCTCAGGGCGGTGGGTTTCTCCATGGGGACCACACCCGCAGGGCCCGCACTTGTGGCCTTGGCCTTGTGTTCTACATCTGGTTTTGGTTCTAACTCTAGAAATCAGGGTTCACAGTGACGGGCACATAGTCAGGCAAGACTTGAGAGCCTGGCAGAGGGGCTGTCTGCCAGACATGGAAAGAGCACATGCTGGATAATTCAATTTTTTTAAAACTCAAGTTCTGACATTACCCACGTTGTTAGGGAGGACCTCTTGGAGGGTGGGCAGACTGTGCTCAGCTGGGATCCTTGCAGGGCTGAAGTGGAAGGTGGTGGACTAGGAATCGGGAATTGTCACCTCCAAAGGGTGGCAGAGGCTCAGTGAGGGGCCCCAGCGCTGACCCGGACTCAGGGTCTGGGACACTCAGGGTCTGGGACACGGGCAGCTGTGAATGAAAGAGCTGATTCTTCCAGGCCTGGCTCCTTCCCTTGGCCTCACCGGTTAATGCCAAACTTTATATTCCAGACACTTCCAGGTAACAAGGCTTCCATTCAGAAGCCAGTGGGACTCTCAGAGGCTGGGAATGGTTTCTACCAGTGTGCTCGGCCCTCTGCTCAGTGGGCAACATCTGTGGAGCCCACATTTTTAATTCATTTTCCAGAAAACTAGGAAAAAGCAACAGAACCCATATAACTAGCCAAATTAAATTGAAGTCATTCAAGGCAGGGATTTAACCAAAATCAACGCCCAGGGAGCCGACATTACCCTGGGTTGGTTTTTCTGGGTGTGTAAAGTGACAACTTAAAAAAGTAAGCCCATTCATAACATGCCCTCAGCACCAGAGCCTGACAGGTCCCGTTTATTTTGACTGCTGCTGGACTAACATGGAACTGAGCCACATGCATTTTTAAACATTTTTCAGGGAAGCCATTAAGTTCCTTCTGAGGCTGTCCCCTCCGATGGGGTGCTTGCTCTCCCAAGATGGGTTCACACTTCTCTCACTGTGTTTTCCAGTAAGCAGACCAGACACCCACCGGCAAGAGGGCCTGCTTTCTGCTAAACTGCATTTCTAGAGGGGCAGTGCCCACCTAAAGACCTGTACTCCCACTTAAAAAGATAAAGACCAGAATCAAAAGGTTGGGCGTTTCCAATAAGTGTGTTTGGGCAGGGCAGGGACGGGGGGCTGCTGACAGGCAGGGGTGTCACCAAGCCTGAGAGCCGGACGCGTGTGCCCATGGTCAGTGCCTGTGGTCAGTGTTCTCACTTGGCCTCGTGTGGCTGAAGGGCAGCCTGTGTATGAAGCAGGAACACTGAGAAGGGCTAGAACTTCTTTGTTAACAAGAAAAGAAGACAAAAGAGGGCCGCTCAGTTTATTATTTATAACATGAGGAATTTTTAATTTGGGTCAATTCTATTAAAGGCAAGGAACAGGCACCTGACTTACAAATACACAAAAGGGACATCGTGTTAAGAATGCCGACCCCGCCAGGTCGGAACAGCTTACATTTCTACTAAATAGACTGGGGAAGAAGCTATTTATAAAGGCTCCCTGGAAAATGCATTGCTACCTGGTTGGATCAGAATTAGCAAGAGAAAAAGAAAAAAAAAAAGCAGAGAAAGAAAAAATAAAAAATAAAAAGGAAGCAGCAGCAGAAATGAAGAGAGAAGCTGATGGGGAGGAAAGCCAGACGTCCAGAAACCCGTCTCACGCCTGCCCAGGTATTTATGTCAAGTCCGGCAGACTTGCTCAGGGCTGTCCTGAGTCCAGGACAGTCCAGCTCAGACAGCTTTGCTTTTTGGCACTTCTGCAACCACTTCGGAACTATCTGGTACATGCTTTGACTGGTGTGCCCCAAGTGGCGATGGGGTCCCTCAACAAAACCAGGATGGGAAAGAACCTGGAACCACAGACACAGGCCTTGCCCGACAGGGATACAGCTCAGAGCTGCTGGGGCCCTTGGCACCCGGGCTGGTCAGGGGCCATAACTGCAGAGATGGGTGGTTGCTGCGGGGACAGCCCCGTTTTGTTAGGGTGCCAAGAACAAACGATACATGTGTTTGCAGCTGGATTCCATTATTGGACAGGCAATTCACTTCCTTCCACTTAGATTAAAAAAGAATAATCCAAGCTGCCTCTCCCACTGAGAGCATTCCAGGGACTGCCTGACTGCTGACGGGGAACTAAATGTTCACCTAACTAAACAGCTGAGATGCGCAGCAACCTACACCCATTTCTTCACATTTTTCGTGCTTAACTGAAGTCACAGGGGTGGTGGTGTGCACTTGGCATCAGCCCCATCTAAGAAAAAAACTGATTATGTGTGAAGTGCCAAGACCTCTTCCCAGTGACTTCCTACTAACGGTCCCACCTGCCTCTACAGCAAGAGGGTGAGACTCTTGATTCCCTCAGCTGCCACCAAACTCAGGAATGTCTCCCTAGAGCCAAGCTGCCGTGGAAACCAAGCACCACGGTGATGCCGAGCTCCTGATTTGCAGAGAGGGCCACAGGCTGAGGGGCAGGCCACACCTGAACCAGGAGTGTGCTGGGCAAACGCCTCATTGCTCCAGAAAGAACCGAGGCCTGTGGGGAGTTGAGGTTCGTTGTCTTGTGGGAAGGAGGCTAAAGCAGGTGACCCGTGACCTGCCAACAGTGCCACTTACAGTGCAGACAGAGCATCAGTTTAGGGCGTGGTGACCACATGGCCAACTTTGGTGTCACCTCTTGTAGGGGAGGACTTTGTGTGGTTTAAAGTGGCAGAGGACACAACCAATGTCACAGGCAGAGAGTCTGCAGGAAAGCAGGCCGCACACTTGAGCTAATGTGTGGCCTGTGGCAGAGGTCAGTGGTCTCCCCTGACCCTCCCGCCCTTTTGAACTGGAAGAATTCATCAGAAATGACAAATGGAGATGTGAATGTGCAAAAGCAACATTCCTTTTCCTGTAAGTGAGGAGGGCAGTAAAGCTGTGAGCCTTGTGTGGGCTGCTCCAGAAAGGAATGTCTCCCTAGAGCCAAGCTGCCGTCCCTTAGCCAGCGGACGATGGCTAAGGATGCCCCCAGACTCAGGCCACCTAACAGAAACATTCACATGCTTCAGAATTAAGTCCTAAAAACCTCAACCTAGACCAGAAATCGGTAGGTTCCGGCAGAGAAGAGGTGCTGACTTCTCACTGTGTCCCCGACCTTCGCAACAGCAGGGGCGGAGGGACGGCACATTTCAACACGGACTCGGTACGTTGAAGACCAACTAAACATTACCTGGGGGAGCAAAATTGTGCCTGTTTTGCTCTTGAAACACCGAAACTAAAATTAAATGTTTTGTACAGTAGAGATTCAAAGGTATTTATATTTTGAAAAATCTCTACAAGAAATTTTAGGTCTATATGCATATGTAACATCATTAGGACACTATAATTTGGGGGACATTTATAAATTCAAGTGAACCAAAAGTAAATACTGAGTAAATCTAGTTGAACTACAGAAACAGCAGCTGAAATGATCTTGCTGCAGCCGTCGGGCAACGCGATGGGGGCGCCGAGGCTCTGGGGTCGGGTGGTGAACCTGGTCGCACCATCAGGACCGCCCACTTCTCCATCTCACCTCACCTCACCTGAAGATTTCTTTTCCATCTTCCAGCATTTTTAATTTCTTCACTTGTTAGGGGAAAATACAGCACCTGGACTCAGATTCTGTTCTCTTACGTATTTCCTTTAAAGCCTGGAGTACAGATTTCTCTCCCATTTCCTTTGACCAAACTTGACCTCATCTTGATTTCTTTACTTATTGCAGTAAGACTCAGGAAAAGACTTTTCAAAATATTTAGTACTCTTTAAGAAAAATTAAGTATAATTACATTTATTTACTTCACCTTCTAATAGAAGAAATAACAGGGTTTGTGGACAGAGGAAGTTCTGAGAGTTTGGCCCAGCCATCTCCTGGGTCCGCTGTTGGGTTAACACTGCTTCCCCAGCCAGGAGGCCAGTGATCCCGATGAGCAAACCGTGCAGGTAACTGAAGCCTGAATCTCACACCAAAACCTTCATCCTGACAAACTTTAACTAAGATTATTTATTTATTTATTTAATTGGTTTATTGAGACAGAGTCTCCTTCTGTCGCCCTGAGCAGAGTGCCATGGGGTCATAGCTCATAGCAGCCTCCAACTCCTGGGTTCAAGGATCCTCCTGCCTCAGCCTCCCGAGTAGCTGGGACTACAGGCCAGATAATTCTTATTTTTTTAGTGGAGTGGAGATGGGGATCTAAATCTTGCTCAAGTTGGTCTTGACCTCCTGAGTTCAGGTGACCCACCCACCTTGGCCTCTTAGGGTGGGTTCACAGGCATGAGCCACTGCACCTGGCTAATTGAGAAATTTTAACAATAAATTGACTTCTCTGTTGTCCTTAAATTTACACATAGAATACAATTTATTTTTAAAAATTGTTATGAGTATAGATTCCTAATGTCTTAGAGCTGAAAGCCCCTGGAAGACAACTCCATAATCCCTCAGCTGGGACCTGTGGACCCCTGGGTAGTGGAAAGATCTGAAAATCTAAATACCCCAAGCCTGGGAAGTGCGTGAAATATTGTGCTGTAGATGATGTTTATAGGTGTGTGGACCAGCGACTTTCAAAGAGTACATTAGTCTCTTTAAGAAAAATTAAGTATAACTACATTTACATATTTAGCCTTCTAATAGAAGAAATAACGGTGTGTGGACAGACGAAGGTCTGCAGAGGCACACCATGTGCTGTAAGAGATCTTAGGTGTGCCGTGAAAATTTTTAAAGATCATTAATTAATTTTTGTTGTTGTTGTTGAGACCAAGTCCTGCCCTATG